TGCAGATCGAAAAACAGAGCTCGCTGCTGAACAGATTGGCATTGACAAGCAGCAGGAGTTGCGGCGCAATGTCGAGGCAACTATTCAAGGATTTTTGAGTCTGAGTCAGACGGCTGATACTAGTAAAGGGCCTGGTGCAGCTTTCACCAGACACAGCATGGCACATATTATGGCTGTGGCATCATTTGCAAAGGAGCAATTGTTGAAAGGGCACACTGACTGGGTGACTTCATTGGCAGCTACACCCCAGTGGCTGTTTTCTGCTTCCAGTGACAAAACTATACGTCTGTGGGAGCTGGGTACCTGGGAGTGTGCCAATGTTCTTGTTGGGCACACTGATTGGGTACTGTCGCTGGCAGCCACAGAGGATTGGCTCCTGTCAGGCTCTGTGGACAAGACAATCCGTGCATGGCAGGTGGGAACATGGGAATGTGTTCGTGTTCTTAGTGGGCACAACAGCTTTGTGGAGTCACTATTAGTGGCAAATGGGCAGCTTTTCTCAAGCTCTGATGACAGGACCATTCGAATCTGGCAAATGGGCACATGGGGCTGTGTACAGGCCATTGAAACAACCCCTGGGTGGGTAAGTTCATTGTCAGAAAGAGTGACTGCATTGGCAGTAAGGACAAGCCCATTGGCCGTGACAGAAGAATGGCTGCTTTCGAGTTCAAAGCAGGACAGCATTAAAGTGTGGAGAATGGGAACATGGGAATGCACACACGTGTTGAATGGCCACACTGGTGCGGTGCAATCCTTGATCGTGATGGAAAACTTGCTGCTGTCAGGTTCCGCTGACAAGGCCATCCGAGTGTGGGAGATGGGCTCGTGGGAGTGTGTCCACGTTGTTAATGGGCACACAGGCCGGGTTCGATCACTGGCGGTCCATGGACACCATTTGTGCTCATGCTCTGAAGACAAAACTGTGCGAGTGTGGAGCACGGACACTTGGGAATGCTGGCGAGTTCTGGGAGGGCACAATGCTGCTGTGAATGCATTGACAGTGATGGATGAATGGTTGTTTTCAGCCTCCTGCGACACATTTGTTCAGGTGTGGACTGCTCTTCCATGAGCAAAATTTGACTCCTTTTTCTAGATTCGAGAGGGTTTGCTTCATTGGCAGGAATATGGTCCTGCGCCTGTTGCTTGTGCTGCAATTAGGAAATGCATTGAGCAGCAGACCAAATCCCTGTAAACATGTCAACAGCCCCCAAAGTATCTCTCAGCCAGGAATGATGGCAGCGCCGCTGCATCAAGGGACAGAAAGAAACAAAGCTTCACCAAATATGCTCAAAAACGATGCATATCCCCAGCAGTGCTATGTATGCATATGCGCAACCTCCACCGTTTCCCACCATCTGAGCACAGTACAGCGCCCATTTCACATTGATGGTGACATCAGAGTATTATGTACCGTTCGTGCCGTTAAGGGCTAAGCAGCACTTGGCAAGGGGCAGCTGAGCGCAAAGCTTATTTGTCAAGCACCATGTTTTTACAATTCAAGGTGAGACCCAAACTCCACGAAGCTCAAAACCGATGCTAAAAGCGGCAACAAGTCATAACACTAGGAAAAAAGGGGGGCAAATAACACGTGTTCAAACGTGTGCAAAGTTTACGGGTTTGGGTAATTTTTGTGTTCTTAGCCAGCAGAACTTTGATGAAATGCGTTTTAGGTGTGTTCATAAAAGTGTTTTTTGGCCCTTTTCCCCCTAGTGTTAATTGTTCGAGCCCCCACCCCAACCCCACCCCCTGCATAAAACCTAAACGCAGACTGACGAAATGTCTCAATTTACAGTCTCCACCTCTCGCTCAAAACATTTCCATTCTCTAAACTCCCCTGTCGTTGCAGTGCTCTCCGTTTTCCTTTTTTTGATGACTTTCCTTTTCCACACAACCTCCCGACGTTCCTTCTTAGCTCAAGCAAAATTTATTGCAAATTTCACCAGCACTGAAATTCAAAACGCCCAACGCGCCCCGCTGAACGACATGCAGGCCATGTGCCACGTCGCAAGAAATGCAAGGCAATGCACAGCCCTGAACAGTGCTCGCACCAAACTGAATGATCACATCTAAACATGCCCAGTCTCGCAGAAGCCAAAATCGACATTCTGAGAGTTCCCTCCATGTCGACATAGCAACCATGACAATAGCTTGCTCGCTCTAATGCTCCGAATCCAGAGACCTGCTTCGAAGGACAATGTTGCACCATTCTAGCAGTAACACAGGTGAGCCATTCTATCGTTGACGCAAGGACTGAAGCTAAGGGGTAAGGGCTAGGCGTCGATTTGACCTTTCGTGTACGAAATCGACACAGTGGAGTCCCCAAGAAACCTGCTGGATCTGCTTCATTTCAATGTTGCTGCCGTTTTACAGATCGATATTGCGAACTTGTGTAATTACACAATTGTAATTATCGTGACTCACATTGAGAATCCATTGCATTTCATTATGCTTGCAATACACGCATGCGCTGGCAAATAATGTGCACGACTAAAGCTGCACGCGCACCAGCCTGACCAGTTTGAGCTGTATGCTACATGTCGCATTTTTCAGACATGCAATTTGCCAGAAACATACATCGATAAGTGAGCGACGGGTCCGCAAGTCAGGGATCGCGTGGTTGTTTGGGTCCCAAAACTGGGTGCACACACGATGAGTGTACACATGTGTGGCGGGGTGGGCTGCAGCCATCTGCTTTGGCTCCCTAGCATTGTGGTAAAAGACACCTGCGCATTGTGCGGTATTTGTACCCCCAAACAATAATCTGCTCATCCACCAAGCTCAGGAAAAAATCAAATTCAGAGCTGGCATTTTTTTCTTATTTTTCTACTTGTTTCTCTTTTTTACATGCATGTCGCCTATTTCTAACGCAATCTGCCAAGCACTAGGAGAAAATGAGCCAAATAACGCGTGTAAATGTGTACAAATTTCACGGGTTTGGCTTGTTTTCTTGTTTTGGGCGTGCAGAACACTGATGAATTGAATACATATGTGTTCGCAAAATGTGTTATTTGGTCCTTTTTCTGCTAGTGAAACGGCTGCCCTGTTGAGGCGATTCTCATGCATCTTCAGCGCATGTATGTTCCACGTTCCACCCTCGGCCCTACCCCATCGCGAGCACAACTGGTTGACGTGTTGACCAAATGCAAAAGCGGATGTGAGTGCAGGTGCACACGTACGGAATTCTCTCAAGTGAAGGTTCCATGTCAGATGATTGCTAATCATGATTGTCGGTCCTGATTAGGACTGCCCGCGACGCCCCTCCCAACCAAGATATGCTGGAGTGAGTACCAGTTTTCTGGCATAGTAATGCGTAATTCACAAGATTTGATCCCCGGGTAAACCGTGTTAAATAGTCAGAATTGATTTGAGCCGATTCCGCCATGTTGGAGCAATGCCACGCCATTTTGGTTGTTTGCGTCCTTTTCTGTATTATGTGTCATAGAAAAATCGTGACATACCAACATATGTCGTGCCAGGGACCTGACTGGCTTGACGGGGTCCTGAGTGGCCCTGGCTGGGCCGTGAATTCGGTTTTTAGGGCATACCCTAAAACCCAATCGTTGGCCTAGTCTTGGCCACTCACCGCCCCGTTTATGAGTATGGGCCAATCAGTGTGCGAACAGTGTCTTGCGCTCATGCGTTCACACAGCGCTCCACAACCGCAACGCCTCTGGCGCCTATGCCCACGACATTCCCCCACCCACATTTCTCACCAATGCTGCCGCACGACATGCGCCGAAGAGCCGAGAGACCACCCTATCCCAGGGAGAATATCCCCTTCCCCTCCTCCCCCTTCCCACCACCACAACCTAGCTGCCGAAATTGACCAGGCTGGGCCTATTTTCGGCAGTGCCCGCTTTAGAAACCTCAGCAACCGCCATAGGTTTCTCCATACAGCTTCCACGGTGTCTCAGATTTCCTCTGCGCATTACCAAAGGGAAGAGAGAAAGCATGCATGCAGTGGTGCTGACAGACCGCCCACCATGCAAACTCATGAACAAAATTGATCAAGAATCTCCACTAAATTAGCTGGGAACGAACGCTTGCCGCATGGATATTATTGACAGCAACATTTCCATGCGCCTTGACTACCAACACGTAGTCATGGTGCGCGACAATCTCCTGCCTTTGGCTTCGCCACACTGACCTATGCGATGCCTCGAAATGCGGTAGATTCCAGATGTTGTTGCACTCGCTGACATTTCGGGCAGCCATTTTGCAGCGATGCTGTGGTGTTTGAAGCACGGCACTGAACTACACAGCGCTCTCCATGTTCGAGCGAGCTACTCCCGTGGTCTTCTGTGTGAGATAGCTGGTGGCCTTGACAAAAGTAAGTCAATGTCTGTGAATAGTTGCGGGTCACGTGCGCGAGGACTAGGGTGAGCCTCGAAGGGTGGCCATGGCAATGTTTGGTGAGATCTTGATTGTAGCGGAAGTGCAGATATCTTGGGAAACCTTCAGGGATGGACGGATTTGGGGGGCGGACCTGGAGGAAGCAAAATTTGCGCTTGTCACCAGCAGAAACACCACCGACGTCGCCATGACGCAAATTGATGCCATCACAGGTTCTTGAGGCCATCGCAATCACTGTGATGGCTCCGCTTAGTGTCAAAATGGTATCGCAGTTGCCACCGCCAAAGGGTGTTTTCTACCAGTGTGTGGGATAGGACGTTCAGTAAGGTGATGTGCGACAGCGGGTTTTGCACGGCAGTTCTTCAAGGATCGAACTGGGTGATTCCTATGGGATGTCCCACTCACCAGCAAAAAACGCCCATTTTGACAGTAAGTTGCGCCATCGCAGTGACTGTGATGGCATAAAAACGGCTGCTGTGGCATTAGTGTCAAATGGAGCCGCGTTTGGCACAGCCAGAATGTTGCTTTTCTACTGGTGACTGCTGTACCAAACCACCTGGCCAGGGGCACTCCCTTAAGAGTACCCATCAACCGAACAGGACTCCCAACTCCCCTCCTGGAAGCTGCACTCCACACGCCTGTGCCCAATGGTCGCGCCCACGGCGGAGAATTCGTCTGCGACGCTGACAGGTCGCAGCTTCCCGGAGTTCTCTGGGTGGCCCACCCTCGAGACAAGACCAGTCCGCACCCCCGCCGCTCATGCGGCCGCCTGCGCTGGCCCACCACCCGTGCCCCCCGCGATGCGGCTGTGGAAGAAAAAGAAAACAAGCCACCCGGCGCCGGTCGCCCATGCGGCATCCAGGCCACCCTTGGGCCGACTAAGGTCCTGGACGCGCCGGCGATGGACAATCTGGAGCTCGCGGCTCACCCCCGGCCGGCGCGATCGATCCGGCGAGGTGGGTAGTGGATGGAGGCCTGCACCCTGCCCTGGACCTCCTTCCGCGATGCCCACCGTGCTTAAAAGCGCCCGCCCCGCGGAGGGACCCAATTCAGGGCATGGGAATCGGGACGCGAAGATTGGGGATCTTCCTGTGATTGTGCTGGAGGGGCGCCGCGGGGATGATGCGGGCCGGAGGGAGGTAGGCTGGGTCGGCTTCGAACTGGCTTCTGGTGGCGTGGGCGGATGCTATGCATCTGAGCGGTGTTGCCGACCGCCAATCGAGGTGGAGACCGGGGAATGGGGCCCGGACGGCGACGGGTGAGTGTGGGGGCTGGTGGGGATGGGGACTGTTGGCGCCGATCCGACGCCTTGGTTGATCTGGACAGGGAAATTTTGCGCCTCCATACCTTGCTGCCAAATGTGTACCAGATATGCCTCCAAACAGGTCCACGAGGTCGCGCCTGAGGTCTTAAATGGTGGCGGTGTTGTCCAACGAAGTGCGGGATTGGGTTGGCCGGGCGGTGGGGGCCAGGTTGTCGCGGTGCCGCGCTGTCGACGTGCGCCTCGCCGGCAATGGCTGAAGCCCGAGGCATCGGAGTCCGTCCCCTTTCCCGAGGCGGGAACCGTGGCCGGCCAGCCGTTCCCGCTTCCCCCTCCGCCCGGGACTCGCTCCAGGATCAAAAAAATGGACGATCGGGGCACGTCCTGCCGCCCCCAAATGGCAGCTGCAAGGCATCGGCCATTCCCCTTGCCGAGGCTGCTGGCCCGGATGGTTCCCCGCCCTGTTTGCCGTGGGGAGCGCGCTTCCTCATGATGAAGCCCGTTCCAAAAGACTGACCCATTGAACCGCTGACTCGTGGACGCGATGACCCCTTAACCCGCTGAATCTTTTCTTTGGGGGGGGGGGGTTCTGATTGCTTCCCCGCTGTGCTGCGGCACACCTGAACGGAGGGGTTTGAGGGGGGGGTTGAGGGGGAGTATAACTCACTGCGCCATAGAGAGCCGCCACGGCTTCCATCCGCGCATGCGAGCAGTGGATGGAAACCACCGCGGCTACCGCGTGGGCGGTGCGGGCCAGAGCGGCGCTGTGGCTCTTCTGGTGGAGACAGCCGGCTTGGCCGCTGGGGCACAACGTGTCCATGCGCCCCCGCGTGAACGGCCAGCTGAATGGCAGTACGAACGACATGCTGAAAACAGCGACGTGCCTTTGTAGCCGAAACAATGCACTTTGAAACGAACATGCAAGAATTATGGAACTTCTTAAGGAACCGCTGCTTAGTGTGGCGAACGGCCCGCGCTCTTGGAACAAATTCGAATGCTCTGACGAAAGTCGTGTGCGGAGGGCCAGGGAGTCACCAAGGAAAGACCAAGTCGGGAGAATCCGCCCATGGTCTCTTTCTATTTGCGCTTGAATGTGCACACCGGGGAAACCCAATAAAACTTCCTCTTTCATTGTGAACTGAGAAAATTTTACACATCAGTTTCGCCTGTTTGGCAGAAAGAAAATGTGCGCAGATAAATCTTTACATGGTTGACAGTGAAGAGAACTCCTTGCCCCACGCGTTTATACCCCACGAAAATTGCATCCAGCGATATGCATCGCCAATGTTCCGAAATCGGTACACTGTTCCTGTAAACGTATTTGTGAATGTTTCGTATTTCGTAATAGGAAACAAGGTGTGTACTCTCCTTCCCTTGCTCGATTAATGGGTGCGCCCAGTATTGCGCCAGACTTTAAAGACTGCACAACAATCGCGATTGGCAAATTTTCCAGTCACGGTTCACTGGCTTGTTGCACCAGGCGTCCGTTCTTCAAGGTCACACAATTTACAACTGTTGCTTTGGAGGGCATGCGCAAAATAATCATCAGTAGAAACGACAGTTTGCGGTGCCAAGAGCGACACCAATTGATGCCATCACGGCTATTTTCGGGCCACCACAATCACTGAGATGACACCGCTTTGTGTGAACGTGGCATCGTAACTGGTATTTCAGAAATGAAATTTCTGAAATGAAATTTCATACACGAAAATTCTGAAATGAAATTTCTGAAACGAAATTTCTGAAATTAAATTCCTGATAGTGCGGTGTTGTTCACGTGCGGGGTATCATGGTGGGGCATTGTCGCGCCGTCCAAGGAGATTTTGGCATATTCATTGCAACAGAAACTCCGAAGAAGTGATCCAATAGGAGTAAAAATATGGTGGAAATTGGTCCCTCCAGCAGAGGACAAAAGCTAGCCGTCTGCGAACATTTTGTATCCGTCGATATGCGCCGCTGCCATGGCGACAGACGTTCTGACCGCTCTTCAGTCGGCTGACTCTGTTTCTGTGTCGAAATTGATCCATCGCTGGGGGAATCCGGCAGCAGTCACACGGCGAAAGACACGATATATTTGGTTCCATTGTAAGATTGTTTAGGTCTCAACAACACAACTTGAATCCATTGGCTTCAAAACACCGTCATAGTTTGCATCGCAAGGACAATATTTGCCTGCGTGCGGTGTTTGCCGCTGGCGCAATTGCCATTGCCCCAATGCAGTTGTTCCGTCAATCGACTCCCTCAAGGCGACTCTGCAGGGCCGAGGAGGAAGGTTCTGGAAGCCGAGCACCGTCGCCCACAGGTCACAGGCCAACGCCCCAGAATCGAGTCTCTAAGCAGAGGAGCGTGGGCCCGAATAATGTCATCTCGGAGCCTCTGGAGGTTCGTTCTGCACTGCAGACTGGCGAGCCGAAGGCGCTTGAGCACCTTCCTAATCAAGCGATATGCTTTTTGGTGCATGGGAGTGCATTGATCGATGCATCGCTGTCACTAGTCCCACATTGCGCTCTCGAGAGCCCCGCATAGCAGAGGGCGATAGCGCACGTGCAAACTTGGAGATATTTCAGGCAAACCGGTACAATAAAATGTTGTAAACGCTAATTGGTGTACTGTTTCTTCCCAAAACATGCTTTTGTTCATCTTGCGGATAAAGTACATGAGATCCATCGAATTGCCAAGCCCTCGCGAGCACGCTCTTGTTGGACACCTCATGACACGCTGTGCCAATGTGCTGATGTTCAATTGAATAGGGTACTTGTCCTGCCGCACATCGCGAAATTCCGGTCGGCGTGAGCAATGCGTTGGTTGCGCAGCATTGCGAGTGTGTGTGGGAGGCGTTTATGTGGCATTAGGTACAGAATATCAATTTTGGGTCTCAGCGACCTATGGCTGGCACTAAGCTCAATTAACCAATAATTATGGGACATCCCTCTAACAGAGCGATTTTGATCAGTTGCGTATTATCAACACCATTTCAGACATCGGGTTCCTTGCTGGTTTTCGATACTCTCCGTACTTCAGTACTTTTGCTCTCATAGGCAGTGAGCTCAATTATTGATTCAGAATTCGTTTGTGGTCATAGTTTCGAAGCCAGGATTTGAGGAGTTCGGTGTCGACTAGATTGTCCTCGCCTCTGGCGCGTAATCGTGGCACCATCGTATGCGTAACGTACTATGTGCGTTTGAATTATGGCAGCTAATTCAAGCGTTGTCTCCAGACGTCTTTTCCTGGGCTCAGATATCTGACCATCGGTAGGAATGCCGAATGGGTCGTTGTCATGCACCTGCCTTCGGGAATTCTTTCACACCGAAATTCAAAACCATGTTTGTGACCTCAGGCCTTCAGTGTCGCGTGATATCGACATAGCCATTTGATTTACCGTTCCAAGAGTTCCCAAGTTTATCCAAAATATGTGAAAATTCCAAAAACGTCGAAACTCTGTCGCCAGGAAGAAGCGCCAGATGTCGGCTGGGGCGACATGGCACCGGAAATTTTGGACGCCGTGAGGGCGGCCTGGCCGAGGGCAGGCGGCGGCGCCCCCTCCTCCTTCCTGAGGTCCACACGGTTGGTCAACCGCCACTGGTACGCGTGGGCGACCGCAACCACCACCGCCCTGCGGCTGTCCGCGGACGCACCCCTGCACGCCGCGGTGCGCGCCATCAAGGGCAAGTACACGCGGCTGACCTCCCTGGACTTGGGCAAGCGCAGTGGGCACAAGGACCGCGAGATGGCCGCCCTGTCGATGCTGGACGGTGTGAGCGCAATCCGGATGAGGGGCTGCTGGGCGACGGACGAGGGACTTTCGCACTTGGTTGGCCTGACGAACTTGAGGCGGCTGGATCTGAGCGGATGCCCGAAGGTCACCCGGGAGGGTGTGGCCCACGTGGGGCGGATGGCGGCCCTCGAGGAGCTTCACTTGGCGTGGAACGGCGAGGTGGTGGATGCCTGTTTTGGCCACCTGGCGGGGCTGAAGGCTTTGGCCACGCTGGACCTGCGGGGGTGCTGCAGGATATCGGCGCGCGTGCTGGAGCACCTGCGCAGGGTGCCGTCCATCTCGCACCTGGACCTGTCCGGCTGCCAGAGGGTCACCGGGCGGGCCCTGGCGTGCCTGGCGGAGCTGCCGGCCTTAAGGCACCTCGGCCTGAACCGCTGCGTGAAGCTGACGGATTCGGACATGGAGCACGTGGCGCGGGCCGGCGGGCTGCAGCGGCTGGAGCTGTCGGGCTGTCCGAGGATCACGCAGGATGGGCGGGCGAAGTTGATGAGAGGGCTGCCGTGTGTTGGCACCGCGTGAGAAGACGCGGTATAAGCAATTATCGCAAAGTACTGAGGGCTGTGCCGCTTTCAGTGACTGTGAATGGATGAGTCGGCATCTGAAGCGAGCGACTATGTGCTGGACGGTGGCTGATGCGTGACGGGGGTGATGTGGGAAATTGAACCAGTCGGTGTATATTTGTCGAACTTGAATTCATAAGAGGATTTGGGTCGCTTGTATATTGATGGGTGTATTGGCATTTTCGAATAATGTTTTGTGCACTGACATGGGGGCGGCAGCGGCATTTACCACCGCTGGATTGTTCGCCACGCGACATCGTCGGGCTCGAGCGTGCCTTTTCGGAATGAATTGGATAGCCAGGCAGATGGTTGGTGTTTCGGAACGCGTGGTAGATAATTTTCCCCAAGGCCGGCCTGCGAGGGTCTGTTGTGATGCCTGTCGTGCATGGGACTCTGAAAGGATTCTTTTATGTTGATTTGATTGCCTTAATGCCGCTTTGCAAGCAATATTATGGTTTCGTTGTTAGCGATCAATGCCCGCGCAGGTTGCCGTCTGATGTGGTGGAGTGCAGAGGATGTTTGGCTGCTGTCCTGACAGGCACGCACAGTAGGGGAGAGCGACAAAACTAGACGTGAAACACTATTCGGAGCTGACTTTGAAAAGCTACATGTCTACAGTTGTGTAAGTGACAACATGTGTTTGCACATGCGCGCTCAGCTGCATTGATGCAGCTGTGCACAGAACAGCGACATCTCTGTATTGCGGCATGTGCTGCGCCCGAAGTTTCAATATCCGTGAAGGGCGAATTGGATGGCAGCGAACAATCGTTCCCAGTAAAACGCAACGACTACAACACCTCCATTCTTCAAAAAGTGGAGAAGAGCCGGGTTGTGTGGGATTGAAACAGGTCCATTCCAACCTTAGAGTTAACAGCTAGAAAATGGCATGTTTGTGGTGCCAACTGCGATGCTATTTTGACACAAAGTGATGTCGTCACAGTCACTGCGATGGCATAAAAGTGGCTGCGGTGGCATCAATTTGTGTCAAATGGCGTCGCCATTCGCATCGCGAACAGGTTATTTTCTATTGGTGGTTGGCGTCTCCAACATCGGCAGCTACCACTACTGAACCACCCGGACCATGGCAAGATGTGACATTTCGCACAAACCTCGAGGGGTGCTTGGGTACCATCCTAGGATGGTAGAACAAAGAGGGCCATTCTTCCAACAATGGCGCATTGGGCGCTGACATGGCAATGCGATCATGACACCCCTGTGGTTCCGCCACCAATTAACTGTTATAATTGGTTCGACAACACAACGAAACATTTACTGTCTGTCATTACTTGCCGTGCTTTGATCCATTCGGCGTATTTACTGATGTCGGTTCGGATATTGAAAAAATTCAAAAAAATCCATCTGTGCTGGCACGGATACATTTCAACTATATGCAATGCAGGAGAGTTGAGCATCTATCCTGCCAGTGCACTGCTACAGCGGTATACCAATGCTGCTTCCACTCAACCAGTGCCGGAGTTCCTCTCACAACTGCCGTTACACGCAGATCGCGTCAAGGAGACGGAAAACGAGTCGGTCACAAAGAGCGCGAGGCTCAACCATACCTCTGTAGGCGGCCACCGGCGGGCCCAAACGCAACGCCCACATTATCCATCACAACACATTTATCCGCGCCGTTGTCGCCATGACGAACGCTTACATAACGCGCTGTTGTCATCACCATACATTTTAAATGACAAGGCAAGGACGCAAACGTCAGAGTCCCATACATAATCTTCTCCCCCACAAGGCGGAATTGGACATGTTTGACGGCCACACTTAATGGCCCCCACCCAAGGCCCAAGGTCACCCAAGCCTCTCCACCTGACACTCCCCTTCGCCACCCATATCCCGTCCCTTCCTTCTCCGCGCCTCCCCTCCGCCGGACAACCGCGAAGAGTCGTGCCCACACAAGCCGTGGGCATCGCCATTAGAACGAGCTCTCCGCTCTCGATCGAAGGTGTGCAGTCACCCATCATCGCTCCCATGGCAACGGCGCCCAACCAACGCGCCTGACACCACTCCCGATTTGGAAGTCGCTCGAACACTCTCCACGGTCCGTGGGAGCAATCCATCGCTCGGGCCGATCCAAGCAATGATCCAATGCACCAGACGCGCGCCGCTGCCGGCGGCATGCCTCCGCGGGCGTCATTCCTTGCGCACGTGATGCCTCCCACTCGTCCTGGTTTGCTCTTCGTTGCGCTTGCCTTGCGCGCTCATCACCTCCCGCTGGGAGACGCAGCGTCATCTCCTTGCAGCACGGAAGACAGCCTCGCGCGCACTTGGGCAGGCTGAGGTGCCGTTATGTGACCTGGTTCTCTTGCTCTTCGTATGTGTGGGTCTGGGGCTACTACACATGGGTTGCCTTGAGTGGCTGAGGAAATGTGGGACAAACACTCTGGACATGCTACTGATGGGGCACGACTTGTGAAGTCGAAACTTTTGTATGAAAGGGATCCCAATTTAATGGTATACTCTCTCTTGCACTTCGCAACAAAAGAAGAAAATCTTGCTTCCCGCCCTGGCCCACGTGCTGGCGCCTCTCGTGCCGCGTGGCCTGGCCGGCTGTGGCCCACGCGCTGCGCGGCGGCTGCCCTTGGAGGCCGCGTGGGGGGCCGTGAATCGTGGAGCCGTCGGAAGCATCGCCGAAAAGTGTGGACACCCAGTGGTAGATTTTTCTATTCTGCGCGACCCGGGGGGGCCGGCGGCACATATGAGTGGTGTCGATTCCGCACGGAGCTGCTCTGATCGATTCGTGGAGGTGGCGGTGAGAGTGAGCTGAGGAATGAAGTCAGCAAACGTGGGGTTGGGGGGTTGGGGGGCGCTTGCGATGCTCATAAAATTCCTTCTCTTCTCTGCCGTGGAGCTTTTCTGGGGAGTGGGCTGCTCAGCTGCCCGAACAGTGCCTGTCCACAAACCGGGCTTGGAGGCATGGATGGCAAAAGCCAAATGTGGCAGATTGTAACGTGCTGTGCAAGAGGTTGTTACAAGTACTGAATTTGAACGGATTGTGATATTGTCAGCGAAGGGGGTATTGTGTGCAGCAAGATAGTCTTCTCGGTTGCTGGCAAGTGGAGTCCCAACAACATATCCTAATGGCAGACAGTTCTGCCAGTCAAATGGAGGAGCCATATGTGAAAATGCTGCAAACATGTGTCAAGCACACTCAGGCCTGGAAGTGGTGAAGGTTTTTTATATCACCATGGGGCAGCACTGTGTGTGAGAAGTGTCAGTTTTGTGGCCTTGTGAATTGATACCCAGCATCCTGCACCCTGTGCAATTGCATGCAGGTCACACGATTTTGTAAGATCCTTGAGGCTCAAACTGCAGTGCATTTGCTTACATTCTTGAAGCATAGGGTAGGCCACTTGGCAGCCCACATCCATGTAGTATCATTATTAAAATTCGTGCACAAATAGAGTATGCTTTGTAATGTCCTAATTTGGGCAACTTTGAATTCAAAAAAATGGGACAGGAAATAACATAATGTATATAGTATACCAGAAATAGTTGTGCTTGATGCCATTGTGCATTGTCTTGCATGCAGTCCAAGAGACTCAAGTGCCGCTGCCAGTTTCAAGAAGTGCACGTTGCCTGGCACCCTTCCAGGAAGGAACAGGCTCCACCTCCAACACATCAGGTTGTCCCTGGACTCCAAACCCACAAGGTCCTCTGGCTCCAGGCTTGCACTGTCCCTTGGATCCTGCCTCCCAGGGTTCCCTGGGTCTAGGATCGCACGGCTCGTCAGGTCCAAGCTCAAGTGGCCCCCTGGATCCATGTCCACAATGTACAAGCAGGTCAGTACCACAGAACTGGCACACTGATGCCAGATCACCATAACCCTGGATGTGCACATCTGTTGCCGTATCATCTTTGTATAGTTTGTGGAAGGGACACGAAAAGGTAAGTTGTTGCTGAGGCTCATAGTTGACATTCACGGCCAAATGAGTGCCTGAAGGTTTTCACGGCGTGGCAGGATCCAGAGCCCTATGTAGACTGGGGCCATCTGCCCCTCAACATCCTGGCTGAAGTTAAGTCGGCGCTGGATGCCAGCCAGGCTGTGTCCATCACTCTCACATCAGCCCGACTTGTCAACCGACACTGGAACCGGTGGGCGACAGACGAGGTGATGTTCATGAACCTCTCGAGAGACTCCCACCTGAACTCAAGGATGGACGCGATCGTCAAGAGGTTCACCCGCCTGCAGGCCCTGTCGTTGCGTCGCTGCACTGATGACATGGGCCCCGGCCTGAGGGCCCTGAAGGAACTGCGGCACCTGGTGCGCACACCTTCACCGGCCACATCTGCTGGAGAGGAGCACAGCGCGTGTGGTGTCTCGATAGTGTCCCGTGTGACAAGTGCATCACCGGCCATGCATATAACCATGCATCTAAAGACCAGGGACATGATCGGTCTAGATCATAGATCTGCAGATCCCTTACATAGTCGGTTCATATCCCGATATAAAAAGTGCTGAAAACGACTGGTTGGTGTCCTGAGTACAGAGATTCTGAATGTGATTGGTCCATATTACTGGATTTGATCGGTTAGCATCCAGCGTACGTTGCTAGTGCCCTGGATGTGGCCGTGTATGGCCAGACCTATGGCCAGACCTGCAGGATATGTCGCCCATATCTGATGTGTGCATCGTTTGCAAGTTCCATTAGTGTATTGCTGCCCATGTGTTCATGAAGTGATGTAGGTCCTGTCTTTAGCACTGGCGGAAATCTGCCCAGTGTCACTCTGAGCCCTTAACGTGTACCGCTGCTGGACACTGTGTCCCAGGAATGGACCTTGTGTTCAATGGGACCAAACTGTGTATGCAAGTCCACTGATTGCAGCTGTGAGCAAGTGATGTGTCAGCACTGAATTTCTAACAGCAGTAACAGGAGAAAGTTTGTCCAAAGCATTTGTTGCGATATTGTTCCGCAATGCCGGTTTGCTACACCAGATACAAGAATC